GAAGAATGTCTTCTTTTCAGTTGGGATAAAAACGGTGGTAAGTTAAACGATTGGTTTCAAAACGTAGCGATTTTACCATGCTAGGGCAACAAAAAGTAGATAGTGATACTGTATGGATGGTGTTAAAATGGTTAGAGTTTTTTAAAAAAAAATTGGATATTTTTGACTTTACCGGACATCATGCAACCTTGTTAGACCGTCCTGTGCCCTTAACAGTTCCAGTAGAAATGATGTTGCGCTCTTAACGAAGGCCTAAGTTCGTAATGATTTTCTGGGTGGATCACTTATGATTGCCCGGCCAAAGTCCTCGAATGTTTATACCAGGTAGTTTTGGCGTAACTTTTGATAGGTTTACAGAATCCAAAAGTGATCCGTTTTTGTGTTAAAATGTCGTTTCCAAAATTCGCATAATGAACTGCACATCATCTTAACAATTAATCAAGGATAACGAAAATCGCGACTTTTCAGCCATTCAAGACAGTTTAATTGAGGCTTAGATGCTCATATATAAGTTCTGAAAAAGGATATTTCGTGCAGGTCTCCATTTTCCCGTCAATATTTCTTCGGTCAAAATGGTCGCGGATAACTTTTCCTGGCTTGCGCCAGCCCCGAACTTATCTCTTTGGTCTGCAAAGTCTTCAATTACCAAATTTCGGGCGCGAAGGTCTGCAAATATCCTATTTTAGTCGCAACAGTCTGGAAAAAAAATCGGTCGTTTTGGCGAATTTTCGATCGTCTGATCATCAAAGCACAACATCGGCCCTAGTGGTTACCTTTGCCTTGATCATATAATTTCGGTTTTTGTGGGCCTCGGACCATTAACTTCTAGATTGAGAGATAGTGGGACCTGCGAGATCATCACCTTTGAAACACCAAATTAACTGTTATGGACCTGACCTCCTCTTTGTTCCTCATGACTCCACAGTCATTGGGACATGGTCTCTTCACACTGGGACACTCCTTCTCATGCAACTCCATCTGCTGGGCGGGAACTATCTCAGAACAGTGCTCACAGTGGGTCACTCTTTTGGCACACTCGGAGGAGATGTGAGTGTCCAGCTGGCGTCTTTCAAATGTCTCCCCACATTTGTTCGGACACTCCATCGGCACGAAGCGACACTCGCCATCTAAGTGGGCCTAATATATACATGCATACATACAGAAGTCAGTAAAATCAGCAAAAATTCATGAATAAAGAAGAAGTTGCAAAAAATATGAACGTATTTCACTGAAAATTCATTCAGTGCACAAAAAAAGTTTCAAGTTTTTTTTTATTGAAAATACTAACTCTTTCTGTCAGTTCCACTTGATGTATGCCAAATATTTTTGCGAATTTTTTTAAATATTTTTTGACTTATTAAATTTAAAACAAAATTTTTCAAAGGCTGGTTTTGAACAACTATTAGCATTTTTAATATCACCCAAAGCTTTTGACAAAGTATTTCAGCAATAAATCAATGCAATGATTACTTTGTCAGCTAAACCAATCAGACGAAAGAATGACAGACACCTGAGAAACATTTCGGCATTGTACGAAACGTAAAATCTTATAATTCGATTTTTTTGAATGATTGAATATAGTGACGTAATATGATGAGTGACTGACCGCGACAGTTCTGACTTCGCCGACCCACTGGCAGCCGATGATGGAGTTGTTGCACCTACACTTCAGTCCCCCTATCTCCCTGCTGATGGCACTGTCCGGGAAAGTGCTCTCCTTCTTAATGTCCTTGTTGTCCACGGGACACTTGGGCTTCACCCTACCAACAAACAGATGATAGAAGTTCATTTTAGTGATCTCCTATCAATATTTTCAAACGATTATTTCAATCAACACACGAACACGACAAGACCAGATGATTGCGGTTCATTTTGTTTTTTTTTAGATCATAAGTTAGATCATTCTGTAGTTTTCGAGAAATCGACACCAATATCACTGAAAAATGTAGGTGTAAGAACGTAGGCGACTTTTAATTGTAAATTTTGCTTAAATGTGCTCACTGCTGTAGTTTTTTTGGTTGTTTTTGAATAAATATTGTTAAATTAGGCTAGGATTTTGCCGTTGAAAACTATTTTGAACAAAAATCTTGCGAGAACGGCGTTTAATTGTTGGTTTTAGCTGGTTGAAAAACCAATGCCATCCAGTTTGATCACTTGCTGTCATAGTTGGTTATACTATTTCTTATATTGAAAGATTGACAATCAACTGACTAGATGATTTAGAATATAAAAGCCAAACAAAAAACAAAGACTACTTATTTGTGAGCTAGTTCTGCACTCACTTGAGGAGGTCCACTAGACAAGAGGAGCATACTCTGTGTCCGCAGTCCTCGAACTGGACAGGGTATCGGAGGATGTCCTTGCACACCAGACACTCGTACTTCTTGTCCAGAGGATTCAGCAGAATCAACCGCTCAAAGTCACCCTACAAGTCAAATGGAGAGCAAGATCACTGCGATACATGATATGATGCTTTTATTTTGACCAAGTTTTCTTGTTTTTCACTTTGTTGCATTGAGACAAATTAAACAAGTTATGGATTTTAATTTAAGTTTGATGACAGATTATCAGAAATACAAAAACGCCAAAATTGCGCTCCAAAAAATTTTCAGAAAAAAAAACTCAATAAATCATAAGTCTCAATAATATTTGTCAAGAATATGCATGCCATTTCCAGGTGTCCATCAAGGGTTTTCTCGAGGAGAGGGAGGGGGGTTTGGTATCTTATCTTCAAAAAATGTAAAATTTTTTGCTCTTTTTTAGGTCGACCATATTACGCTGGCGATTCAAAAGCGTTTTCAAATCAAAAAACACACTTTTTCTTCAGACTAACAAATCTGTTCACAAAATCACTTGAATCACTTGGTATCTTGTTTCATAATGCATTTGTATTTCTTAACGTCTCCGGCGCACTTGGTCTGGAGATAACAAATACGCCTGGGAAGTGAAATGCTCCTGGATTCGAAGTATTCAAGGACCTGTTTAATTTCTTTAAATAGGAAATATTCCGTTTTTAGAAAAAGAGTTTTCGACCTATAGTTTGTCTGCTTAAGTTCTATCGGCTTATTTGTCATATCTTTGAATTGCTTTTGCTGTACGCAACTCATTGACCTCTCAAACGTTCGGTTTTTTGCTGTTTTTTTCTTAAAAAGCTTACTCGGCCCAAAAGACTTTGCCTTACTTTTCGTCAGCTTTGTGACCTAACTTTTTACTCTCCCGATTGCACAAAGTGCTTATAATGGTAAAATAGCATTAAAAGTTCAAATTTTTCTTGACAATATTTTTGTTTCCAGTTCTACCGGAATGTACTCATGTTTTCTCGGCTCACTAGCAACCCAATAAGTAGTTTTTTTTTCTTAAAAATTAACAATGTATTGTGTTTCTAAAGAAGTTTTGCGCCAATGGAACATCATTATAGACAACCTTTTGAACTTTTTTGTTGTAATTTTTTCAATTTTTTTTCAATTTCTTGAACTTAGTGGTTCTATTTTCCTGTTTACAATGCTATTTTTACGTGTATCACAAGTGGTGCGATTCGAAGTTGAAAAAAAAAATATTTTGCAACTATTTAAGATATAGGGTTGAAATTTTGACAGATGGTAGATTGATTTATTCGAAAGGACTCAGCCGGGCCAAAGTTTGGAAAATAATGTTTCGAAGGCGCAAAATAGGCAGTATTTTATCACTAAATTTAGAAGCGCTCTTGCTGTAGTAACATATTCGCAAACAATGTAAGAAATTGAGTTTATGGGCTCAAAAAGATTAATTGGGAAGCTGATAAGCTTGGTTTTTTATGCCACCGAAAAACGACAAACGAAAGAATTGAAAGAGACAATTGGTCCGGCGACAAAAAGGCCTAATTTTATAAATAGTTTCGCACTGGTAATCAAAATAAGCCATCAACAGAACTGCTCCAGCAACCTTTTCGGAAAAGTTACTGCTCCGATTCATGCCCAAGATTCTCATGAGCAGTGCGTTTTTTTTTCTAAATATTCTTTCCAATTATCTGGTACAACCTTCCAAAAACTTCTAATGTATGCTTCATTAAAACAGGCAAGGCTGTTTTTTAACGACAGACCAAGTAATTTTTTCAATTCTTTGTTTTGCGTTTTTCGGTGGCATAAAAGGTGAGTGAACCTAATCAGTTTCCCAAATAACCATATTGTGCCCATAAATTCAAATTCCTTATACTGTTTTCCAAATCTTCCAAATACATTCATCTACTATCTGCCAAATTTTCAACCCGATAGCTTTAATATTTGCAGAGAAAATGACAAAAATGTAAATAAAAATTTCGTTCATTTGGTTGTTAAAATCAAATAGTTGCAACTTCTATACCCACTGACTGTCCTTCCACCGAAACTGATTTTTGTACATAAAAATCATTTATACATTGAAACCATTGATTTGTCGAAGTTGTATATGGGAAAAAAACGGATTTTAAATTTTTGTAATGCAGCAAAATGTCAGTTTCCATGACAATTCGAAGACATGGACAAAAGTCAGAAACACAGAAAATGGAAGGCGGCGGGAAAAAGGCAGGCGTGAAAAAGCCCATCATACCTGTTTGTTCCTGGGCAGATTATAAATCACAGGCGACACAGCCCTTGCAGAGTCCTCCTCCTTCTCCTGCTCCAGTCCAATACCCTTAGTATTGTGCACCTTCTGGGGAGTACTGGGCACAGGGGACACCAGTCCATTCATGGCACTTCCTGAGGGGGTAGGGGCGTCGTCTGGGTTGAACTCTAATTTTTTGGATCTGTTGGCATTCTGCTCTTTCAGCAGACTGTTATGAGGTGCCTTCACTCCGACCGCTGGGCGAGCTAGAAAGAAAGGATGCTGATTTGGCTTTCAATCGGCAGTGGCTTTTTTGCTCTGATGTATCATATGCAAATTTTCAAAGCTTCGCAATTTTTAACTTTTCGAGATATTCGAAGTTGCTGGCATCTGGCCAAAAAAAAACTTGCATCAATAAATTAGATGTCGAATTTTTTGCAGAATGTATATGCTAGCTAATTACAAATGCAAGTCTTTTTTTTGTCTAAAGGTTCTTTTTTGCGTTCATTATTTATTGTTGATATGTGAAGCGTTCTTCATTTAGCGGTCTACGCATTTTCAATTGATTGAGCTCAATTGACCTTTTCTTTTGAGCTAATTGTTAGCTGTTCACCTGTGCTTATTTAGTGAAACTTTGTGCTGTAGTGTGGACAGTGAAGTTTGGATTACCCGATGAGTTGTAATCCAAAGGGGTAGGTCCGGCACCGGGTCCCCTGAACTGAACACCACTGGAGTTCCCTGCAGTTGAAGAAGTCCCTGATTTCAGAATAGTCCTGCTAGTGCCTCCCTTCCGATTTTCAGGCATAGTTGAGACTAGTTGCTAGTTATAACCAGTTATCTTGTAAGAGAGACTTTTTTGCTGACAAAGTTAAAATGAGCAGGTTTTTATTATTTGGTAGCAAATAAAAATGAAATACCTTTTCAAAACCAAGTTGACCAACAAACTAAACGTTTTAAGCTTGAGCTTCAAGTTTCACAATTGGTGCGTGGCGAAAAATACAAATGTCTTAGAAAAACGGCGTAGAAATACTTCAATAACAAAAAAGTATTCGATGCACGTGATAAGTGGACTCTTCTATGGAAACACCTGATTCACATCCATGAATAATTAAGGTGAGAAATGGTCGCACAAAAAGACTACATTCTGATCAATCTGTTTGCTTCCGAGTAGTTTCCTCCTTCTCTAGAATGGAACCCGATGAATTATTAACAGACAATGCAAAAATAAACATTTCCATAACCATATTTGCGTCACAATCCGAATTGATCATATTTATTGGGTCATGCTGTTGATACAAATTTAATCTGTATTAGGATGATGTTTTAACTGGCAAAAGTATATTGAATAATACTTTTTGTTCAAAGAGGTAGCTTTTTGAAATCATACTTACAAGCAAAATTTGGTAATAGAAATATAGCTGCTGCCAAGCTTCCAACCAAAACCCTTTAGCAGACACTTTTTTAAATCTGGCTGACAACTTTTAAATTTTTGGTCCACATAGGGCTAACAGCTTTGTTCTTTAAAATAATTCATTTTGCTTTAATTGAAATAACGTGGAGATGAATGACTGCTTTAAGAAAAGAAACTGTTCGCTCTAATATGGATCAACCCTATACAATGTAACCCCCCCCCGTATGTGACCTACCTAAAATGTCCTCTCCAAGCATGTGTAAAATATAATGTTTATGAAATATTTCATTCAATTTGTATTTTGATGAGCTACAGATTAATTAAATCGACGTTTTAATAATATAATCTGTTGTGTAGGCGATATATTTTTCTATTCAAAGTTATCATTTATAAAATTCCAATTAGTATCTATGTAATAAATTTTTCTAATATATACTTCAAAAATCGCCACTTTCTTATATATTTTTTTTTGCAAAATGAAGATCATTTTGGTACATCGCTATTAGAAACAAATTGTATTTTCCAGGCGTCTGGCATTCTAGACTTTCATACAAACAATTTCAATTTTTTTGATGATTTACACAAACCAGACTATTTCTTACTCTTTTTCTAAATGACACTGGGTTGATTAAAGTATTTGAAAGTAAATAGTAATTTTGTATATCTTTATATAAGTATAATTAATATTTTAATTTAAAATACTATTGCGAACCAAGAAAACTATGAGGCATAGCTTGGAGTCATTCTGTAAATTTCACTATTTAATTTTTCATTACCTAAAATTGAACTATCTAAAAACTTGTGGTTGAAGCTTTCCTTCTCTGTATGACCAGCGTTTTTTACAAAATTTGAAAAATCAGAGCTAAAGTAGGACATACACATGAAAAGTTTTCTTATTCTAGTCCGAAGTGAAAATTTTGAATGCTTATTGCAATCCATGACAAATATTTGAGCTTTCAATCTCTGTGTCCTGATCTTAAAAGTTTCAAAATGATTGATATAATTATTTATGAAATCTGAACGGCGGTTTTTTTTCGGAATTTTACTTAATAGTTTCAGTAGTTCATAAATGTGGAGTTCCTTCACGGTATAAAATCGTTTCTTTTTTATTTTTAAATTGTTTAAATGACTGAAAGCGTTTCCCGAAATAGCAAATTTTTGGTAACGATTTATAGTATTCTCAGAGGAATCTAATTTGCTTTTATTCGCAACAGCAAAAAGAAGTACGCCGTATTGCACTTTTGGTTCTACAGATTTTTCTTACATTTTTATCTGATGATTTTTTCAAAACACTTTCTAAACTGACAAAAACATCTCAAAAAACCTCTTTATTTTTTTTAAACCTCGTTTATATGATTTTCATTGTCTAATTGTTCATCAAATTAAACGCCCAGATATCTTAATTTATTACCCGCTCAAAACTTTCATTTTCTCATTTCTAATTTTGATTTCTTTCTGATAATATTTTTTGAGAAGAACCTGTTTTTGTTTTGTCTGAGTTCAACGTTAATTGATTTTCATCAAATCAATTGGTGAAGCCATTCAGAGCTTTTTGATGTTTTTTCTCTACTATAGTCTGTACTGCAGTATGATCAGCGTACATGACTAATTTTGAATGGTCATTGTTACAATCAGTCTCATTACTGAAGAGAACGAATAAAAGAGGATCTAATACAGATCTTTGTGCTACACTATATTTGACTCCTTGGGTAGTAGATTTATTTCGATTTGCAAAAATTATTGAGTTCTATTTGTCAAAATTTTTTTTATAGTTTCAAACAAGGTTCCTCAAAGCTCATAAGAGAAACGTTTTTCCGAGCAAAGATAGTGGTTTACAGTATCGAAAGTTTTGATCCAAGAACGTGCCTTGTATTTCAAATGGGTGAAAATCCGACTGGTAACAAATTTCCTCAATTAACAAAACTATTGCTACAACTGTTCACGTTTGCTTTGGAATCCATATTGCACCTTGTTATAAATTTGATATAATGCAAAAATTTCTATCAGCCTGTTAACTAAAACTTTGTAAAGTTTTTTTTATTACCGGCAGTAATGATATCGGTTATTCTATTGCTTTTTTTGCTATATTTGTTTTGTAGATGGATATTATTTTTGCTATCTTTGGGCAATCAGAAAAATGTGCGTATCAAAAAATTTTTGGATTATTTAATTAGGACTAGATTAATTGCTAAGGTTATTTTTTTGAAAAAGAAGCTGTTGGGTTCGTAGCCATCTATGCTGTATTTATTTTGGTTTGTTTGTTTGAATTTTCACTCGTCTTCGTGAGGCAAAATGTGTACCAAAAACATTGATTGCAACTATTTTTGATAATTTTGGTGCTTCAAAAAACGTTATTTTTTGAGCTAATTTTTCGCCCACAGTGCTTAAAAAATATATTAAAATTTTCAGCTTTTCCTGCGTCCAAATGAGCAGTTTCTGATTGCTGATGATTTTTTCTAGCAAGCGCCTCATATAATTGAGAAAATGCTCTTTTATTTTTCGTAGCGTCTTGTTGAGTTTTGTCTAAATAGAGTTTCATTTTTCGCTGATTGACTAATTGTTTCACAAAAATAGCTTGATGTTTGTGTTTTTTTTGAGCTTATGTTGTATTGCTCTGGCATATATTTTTTAAACTCTTTTTTAAACAAAATTCTTTTTGACCGCTGCAGTTTTTTTATTCGTTTTTCAGTGCTTATTTTTTTTTATTTTTTAAAGATTTTTCTTCCTTCTAAATCGATTGATTTTGGAAAGCACTAAATAAGTGATATCAACTAATAATAAAAATAAATTGTTTCCAAACGATATCTAGTTAGTAAGTTATTTATAAAATTTTGAAAATACAAAATAGAATCGTTTGGGAGAACACCATTAAGCAAACAAGGCCCGTTTTCAGATGTCTCATTAAGCGGAGAACAAAAAAAGTACTTAAATTCTTTGATCCAATGCAATAGACCTTCCACCGGTGACCATTTTATAAATTTAAAACCTCTTTATTCGCATCTTTAAACCATTCTTTATATAAAAAAATAATAATTTAGTTTTCTCAGTTCGTCTTTTCTACCAATAACTTAGAAATCAACAAAAACAAGTTCTACTTATTAATCAATAAAAAATCTCAAAGCATGCCCAGTAAAATGTAATTATCCAAAAATTTATGATTAAAACTGTTTAATTGAAACCGAGAAGCCCTTTTCAAGAAACTGACCCAGGTGGGAAAAAAATTATTACAAAGTTGAACATTTTTCTAATTTTAGGTGAAATCGACCCTCTGTTGAGTTTATTTCTGTTTATAGCTAACTTTTGATTTGATTTGGTTTTGAAAATATCACGTTCAATTCTTGTTCAGTAATAGAATATATCAAGGTTTCAACTTGGCACTCTTTTCGAATAATTTTTCCGGTTAATTTCAGAACTTCGTAAGCAACAAATTCTCTTACGGTATATATTTTATTATCATGCATTATTTCAGTGATTGAATCCATCCTGTGTTTATAAAAAATTATTCTGATTAGCCTTCTGATTTTCATTTCCATTTCTAACAGTTTAGTTTTGTCGGTATTTGCATAAACTAAAACTTCATATTGGATGATTGGTTGCACGTAACTTTTCCTTCACGGTATAAAATCGTTTCTTTTTTATTTCTAAATTGTTTAAATGTCTGAAAGCGTTTCCCGAAATAGCAAATTTTTGTTAAACGATTTATAGTATTCTCAGAGGAATCTAATTTGCTTTTATTTGCAACAGCAAAAAGAAGTACGCCGTATTGCACTTTTGGCTCTACAGATTTTTCTTACATTTTTATCTGATAATTTTTTCAAAACACTTTCTAAACTGACAAAAACATCTCAAAAAACCTCTTTATTTTTTTTAAACCTCATTTACATGATTTTCATTGTCTAATGGTTCATCAAATTAAACGCCCAGATATCTTAATTTATTACCAGCTCAAAACTTTCTTTTTCTCATTTCTAATTTTGATTTCTTTCTGATAATATTTTTTGAGAAGAACCTGTTTTTGTTTTGTCTAAGTTTAACGATAATTGATTTTCATCAAATCAATTGGTGAAGCCATTCAGAGTTTTTTGATATTTTTTCTCTACTATAGTCTGTACTGCAGTATGATCAGCGTACATGACTAATTTTGACTGGTCATTGTTACAATCAGTCTCATACTGAAGAGAACGAATAAAAGAGGATCTTATAAGGATCTTTGTGCTGCACTATATTTGACTCCTTGGGTAGTAGATTTATTTCGATTTGCAAAAATTATTGAGTTCTATTTGTCAAAAAAATTTTTATAGTTTCAAACAAGGTTCCTCAAAGCTCATAAGAAAAACATTTTTCCGAGCAAAGATAGTGGTTTTACGGTATCAAATTTTTGATCCAAGAACGTGCATTGTGTTTCAAATGAGTGAAAGTCCGACTGGTAACGAATTTCCTCAATTAACGAAACTATTGCTACAACTGTTCACGTTTGCTTTGGAATCCATATTGCCTTGTTAATATGGACAATCAACCTTGTTATAAATTTGACATAATGCAAAAATTTCTATCAGCCTGTTAAGTAAAACTTTCTGTACAGTTTTTATTATAGCCGGCAGTAAAGATATCGGTTGATAGTTTGCTCTATTGCTTTTTTGCTATAATTGTTTTGTAGATGGATATTTTTTTGCTAT